GGGAGAAAACACCAACTATCGGAAAACAAAATTCTCATTGGCACTCGAAAGGTCCCGAAGGAGTGGTGCTACAAAACCTGTACTGCTTATGCACAGCTGCTTTGGTTGTTATGGTTCACAAAGAGTGACGAGATGTTCAGCGTGTTCCAAACCTCAGTCACATAACTTGTTTTGGGGTACAGCGGACCGGTCTGCACCCAACTGTCGGTATTACCCAACCGCGTGACATGAATCTGTACTGAGCAATCCAAAGCACTAGTGTCTACTGTTGTTCGCCATAATCCTTTGAGTACCCTTAGAAGGATGTCAATTATAGTGCGGTGAAAACTCTTGCCTGTGGAATGAATGTGACCGTAACCAATCAGGAAGAAACATTCCCGCAAAAAATTGTTTTAGCAATTTTTCACCATCAAGTCTTCGTCTGTCATTGCTTTCTGTAGATCTCTCTTCATTCCTGGGCTGTCTGACTGAGGTCATAACATATTCGCGTATCTGACTAATGTTTTCCTATATCTTTGGCTGAGTTCGCTGCGGGATCCTGCCAATTATGCCTTCGGTGAAGGTCATCGCTATCCATGGGTGCAGAGGATTTGTTAGAGATTGATTTCTGTTGTTCAGCTAAGGGATAAACGATGCTGCTCCGCAGCCCCCCCCCCCCAAATGCCAATGCACTTTACATCATCTAGGACGGCGTGATATTAAAATGACTTGTAAAAGACAAGCAAATTGAGAGCGTATTTTGTAGAGGATGGGATAACGACGAACTGAGGTGTATCATCGTAAGTGCGCATTTTCTACCGCATCCGATGGACAGTGGAGAAGGGAGCTCGACCATCTTTCTCGTCCATTTGCAATTGAACTACTTACGCATATTTAGGTAAATATGTACGATGTCTTAATTAATTCTGTCTCCTATTCGGCGAATTAAATGCCATTTGGCAGAAGAGGATGAAAAAACAAGGAATCTATGTAAGTTGTTAAGTACTACTGACACTATTTCGAAATGGAACATTGAAGGGAAAATTTACGGCTCAAAGCTCGGATCGAAATAACCATTGATTTGTAATTATTTTTAGTGTTATTATTACTCACAATCGCCATGGTAGCGGAATAGTAATGTGATCTGTAGTGCCAGCCTTGATTTGCTACATCACTTGGACGTTTTTGTTCCGACCAGGGGCTGCAGATTGGGCAGTTTGGCGTCAGTAAATTGACCCTGATTGAATATTTTTCGAAGAGTTATAAATTTAACATTAAATGAGGAGGAAATTAGATGTCTAGGTACTATGAAGGCACTCCGGTGCTGACCTAGCATTTACCTCGACAGACATTTTCTTATGCTACTACATTAAGAAGAGCACTGCTCGTATCCGTTGCTTTTCTTGGATTGTATGGTTCATTCACCTTTTTTTATCGCCAATTGGAAGTACCGTATCCACACGAACTGTTGCATCACCCCCATGGTGTACGATAGTAAGTAATGCATTGTTACCGCAATTAGATTTTGAATCGCTTTTACCCCCCCCGCCATATTTTTTCTGTTCGTACATCTCTTCGGCGCGCGATTTTTCTAAATGGGCACTCACAATAGTTTGGGATTTAGAGTCTGATGTTGAGAAATGCCTTTATCCAATGCGAATTCCTTATAAGGTTGTAATTGGTTTACGCTGTGGTACGTTAGCAGGCTCTACAAAAGGAGTCTTCGAAGCTGGCTATTTTGTTTTAAAGTTATAGAACCAGCTTCTTTCAAGAAAACGAGAAAGGAACAGTTTTTTTTTGTTGTTGTTGATTTTTGTTGTGTTGTTGTGTTGTTGTTGTTGTTTGGTTTTTCCTTTGTTGTGGGATCAAACAATTGCAATGTTGCTGACCATGATGTATCGTCAGACTTAGATGATCATTTTCGCGCCCTATATCTCGAACTCTATCTGGCTTTCCTGTCCCGTTGAAAAGTTGGTAAATGTGTTGAGTAGCTGATAGGATATTTGGGGCGTGGAACCAGTTGAACTTTAAACTATTTATGTAGGGTAGCCTCTATAACAATAAATCATGTAATCAACGTTTTGTGTAAGAACTGGTCTACGAATGAGGGGGGTTCAGTGGCAGAAATGCTTTCTTGGATGTTTCATTTCATTCGCAGTTACGCAAGGGATGGAATTTGCCAAAGCTAAGGGGGTGTAGCGTCAAAGGAAAAGGATATGGAATAGTGAGATGTCACCGATCACATCACATTTTTTTTCCAAAATAATTTGCTTGAGATCATTCGTGTCATCGTCGTGTGAAGCCGAAATTCTTTAGTGTGCTATGCATGGTTTTTCGTCTCCGTACATACTACTTCGAACTCGTCCCCGTGCCTCCAAAATAGTATTTACCGTTGCACTTGCGTTGAGCTGGGAGCCATTATCTTTGAGCTAGAAGCACGTTATCCACCTTTGAAAAGCAAGAGGAAGTCGAATCTCAATAAGAAAGCCAAATGATATGATGAATTGGATGATAGAGAAAAGGAAATATGCTTGTTATGAAGGGGGGGGACCCACCGAGGCCTTACCACTGCTGACGACCTTGGTGGCAACTTCCAACTCCAAGTGCAAGAATCGGCCTATGATTGATTGGAGGTGAGGGGTTGTCGAAAGTATAGAAAGGCAAAGGAAGTCATACCGACGGCGCTATCTGTCGTACAATCTCGTCTAGCGAGCAAATTAGTGTTCAAAAATTGGTTTCTATTTCACGGATTTGAGGCCGCTTCTCTTATTTTTTCTTCTCCATCCCTGCGCCACTTATCACGCAAAAGTTCATTTTTCCAACAGCGTCCATTTTATCGCGCAAAATATTAGGTCGGTCAAAAAGTATCCGCCGTTTTGACCCCCTAATTTTGAAGCACCACAACTTTGCTGAAACACAATCTTTTTGTTCGAAATAAAAACTGCTATGTCCAGCAGATTGTTCTCAATCAGACCCATGCTAAGAACTTCCTTCCTATAGATCTTTAATTTATTATAGGCTAAAAGCTGTAGGAAGGCGCATTTGACATGCCTCAGTTCTCAACGCGATTTCTCCTCCAAGAACTATGTTGAAAAGCGGGGAATTGGTGGTTCGTGAAAGATGTACCTGGGCTATATAAAGGATAGCAAAAGAACTTCTGAGCCATTTCTGAATGGATTCTACAGAGCGTATTTTGCGGTGGGCGATTTAGCGCTATCGTGGTGAAGGACTGGACCTCATTTTTTTCTTTTGAAGCAGACTATCATCCCCGTAGTTTCTTATGTTTTATGTTCTACTCTTACGACAGGACTCGGCCGTCGTCGAATGAGTCAATTCTCGGACTTTGAAATGAGCTAGGCCATCGAAAATTGAGGAAAATCCTTATTGGAGGCGCTCCAGGTTTTGCAGCGTTCCAAGGCAGCTTGGTTTCGTCCACATATTTGGTAACCCTTTCACTGTTGGCGTGCAGAAGCATAGTCGTACTCCACACTATTACCCATCTTGAAAACTGTTCCCTACTGTTGCAAGGAAGAGTCCAAGCACACACCTCCACGCGCGTCGCAACTGCTAAAGCTGCCAGCACGGGTTACTCCGGTGAATAGATTGACGACATTTTTCCTGCTTTCTCACAGCGTCCACCAGGCTGAGTTCGGTGCCTTTAGAGACCCAACCTCTAATACCACACCTGTAGTTGGGTATCAGTGATAAGTTTCCTTCATTTTACAATCCCAGTACATTGAAGGGCACTCCTTATATAATACCGCAACACTTCCGAGCTTTATTACTCCAGGCCCAAGCCTGCCGAGCTAATCTTGCGCTATGCGTTTCCTAGCAGCATTCCTTCTCAATGCAGTCGCCATATTACGAGCTGGCCCTGGCGTGTCTATTCCAAGTTTGAAGACATGAAGTGGCAACAATCGAAAATCACGATTTTGCTTATCCTAAAAAGGAGGGTAAAACGACAAATGTTCTCGGAATCACCTCGAACCTTCGTATGAATATGAAAGGGCTGATCTTCCTCTATAAGATGACACCCAAGTTGTTTGAATAGTTGCCGAAAATGCAGGGGACTAATCGAGGTGCAAAAACGGCGGTTCTTTTTTGAACGAACCTAATTACCTCTGAACAAAAACAGCTTTATCCAGAAACGATTGTTTGTAAAAAGGTTAGCAAGCTTGGAATTTGTGAGATGCAAGTTTTTAAAAAGTATGGGAACTATTCTCAAAAACTACTATTCCAGAGAAATCTATTATTGTGATCAGAAAAATTCCTGGTTGTTCGGGGTATCAAAACCAAACCAAGCTTATTTTTCGCTCTTTGCTATCTTCATGAAGAAGGTGGGCCAAGGTATCAATTTCTGGTGAAAATGGAGGCAAGGTTTTTCCGTGGACAATCCCTCAACCAGTCATCAGGCAATCTGCGTATAATAATTTATGAGTCACTAGTTGACTGCCCATTTGGAGTACAGACTGAGCCGAATCAATCTCTTGTTCCAGGCAGTCGCATTATCATACTGAAGTTTCGTATGACGGGCTTCAGGATTCATATAAATTGGTTAGTCTTTCATTCGCTAGTTTCTTGTTCTTCGGAGAGCATAGATCTGAAAAGCACAACTGGTTCGAGTGAAAATTGTAAAAGACCGCTGGGGGATGGTGTTGGGGTTTTTTTCAATAGGAGCCGTGTGTTTGACTTCTATCGAGAGTTGTGGAACGTAGCTCATGACCTATTACACCTGCTTGGGTCCTTCGACAGTCCACATCGGGCCAACGCCACTAATAAATCAGTCTGGCACCACATTACAGGTTCAAAGGGAGTGAAATGCTAGTTAGATAACGCTCACTTGTAAAAACAATCAGAAAGCAAATAAGCTGGAGAACTCATGAATAGCTGCATTCATGTTTTGCCGTTGGAGACGCATATCGACAATTAGCTTGAATTATGGCAGTGCACAAAAAGAAGGGGAAATTATTCAGGATTTTTTTCAGATCATCAACAATGATCAAAGAGCATTCGAGCAGGAAATGCGATCTCAGCAGCGATCAAATCAAGGCAGCATAACAAAAATGGAAGGAACAAGGGAAGACAGTAGTGATATGATGCCAAAGTCATTCCTGGGTAAAGAACCAGGAAAAGGTGAGAATTCTTTTGCATGTTACATGAATTGAAACTTACGGCCATCTATGTAGTGCGGGTTACCAGAGGTACACCCCATGATCAAGGTGATATGGTGATTTAGCTCGAAAGCAGAGGTGCTAGTTGAGCTGAGAGTGTAGAAACATGATAAGAAACCATCAAAAATCGAACAAAATAAAAAATATGGGAGCTGGGTCTCTTTTTATCTTCGTTGTAGAGAATTCGGAGATGCAGACAGCGAAGTATGGGATACTGGGCGAGATCGGGAGGGAGAAAAGATTCGAAGTCGAGAGAGCATTGATGCGAGCAATAGCAGACAGTACCTTGAACGCCATTTTCTGAACGGGATCCCTGCTATCAAGCGGGGCCTGCCTGCATTCTTAAGCCTTCTTAAGCAACGTCTAAACACTGCCTGCCGATTGTCTGCGCAACTCGCTGTTAACAAGAAGGGATGGCCTGGTAGCCGTCTTTACAGGCCTTTTCCGGGGCACTCACGGCTGAAGTCTCTCTCTACTGCTGCATCTTTGACCACCTCTGCTACCATTCTCAGTGGGCGACCACTTCATTGTGATTTTGGCTTGAATCATGATGTGTGCCTTAAATTCTTGGAAACATCATGGGTATTATTTTTCAGGTGGATCTGTTGCTGGAGAAAACCATTGGTGCTATCATTGCGTGTCACCGCTCAAGCACATATCGAGTGATATGAGGAAAACGATTCGGCAGTTCTTGCACTTACGGCGAACGTCATATCCTCAAGGTGCTCTATACATGTGGTTAGCTTGAAACTCGGAGATTCACGGCTAATGGAACGAAGGGAAACCCTGATGGCGTACGCCACAGGCAGGCATTGGCCTCCCTGAATCGACTGAAAAAACAACACAATTAACTGATCGAATCGTAATTCTTTGAATTCAGAAGTGGCAACAGATGAGTGCAACAACGCGAAGAACTTCTCCCGCCTGTACAAACAGACCTGCAGGCATCCATATTGCTCTACGATCTCCCTCGTGGATCACAATCAAGGTATTAACTTGTGGAACGTTCAGAGTTGGCGATCATACGTGGATTAGGCGATTAGGCGATCAGGCGATCGCTCAATGGGCGGAGCAACAAATCAATACGTATCCTTCCCTTATCGCCTACTCGCCTACTCGCCTAATCGACTACTCGCCTACTTACTAATCGCCTAATCGATACGTATACTTTCTTTTTGAATCATCGCCTAATCGCCCACGCACGATCGCTTACTATGAACGTTCACACTGGACACTTAACTGCTAATTTTGGGAATACTTGCCCATTCGCCACTGTGATGTCATATGTTTGCCCAGTGGAAAACGCAAATCTTTATGGCGTAAATCTGACGTTAAAAGATAAGCAGTATGGCCGAGTGGGAATGACATGTCAAGCCCAGTATTACAACCCATAACTCACTTAGAAAACCTTTATCATTGGCAAGTGCGGACGTGAAGTCGTCACGCTGAATCATCCTTGAAGGCGGTAGTGTATGTTGATTTTTGTTTTGTATCGTGAAGCGCGTCAGCAAGTGGTATCTCCTTAGCCGCGTGCCGAAATACTCAAATGGATGTGTTCGGCGGAACGAAGCCTATCATTTCTTTCGTCCAGAATCTCCGTGAAGAAATCCCATCATTGGGCTGGCGTTCGTCCTGGTGTTCATTTGGTGTCGCAAGGGGTTCAGTCGGTAACGGCACAGGTCCACCGGTAATAGTGAAGTGTCGATCCATACGAACCTCAATTGCTTGGCATAACGGCAACCTCCTTAACATGACCAAGCAGTTTTGGGGTGTTTCCCGAAAATCTGATCTTAATGCTGAACGTCGCTCCATAACTTGTACATACCGCAAATAATGAGAATCACCCAATCGCAGAAAACGGCAGAAACATCAACTTGTCTGCTAAAAAAAAAAAAAGACCCTTTCACACCCTGGCTGCAAACCAAGCAAAAATCTTCCCCGTCCCGCAAAGGTGAAACTTCGGAACGCTCTCGGAAAATTCCAATTTTCCACTGTAGAATCCACAAATGAGGTTGAACACAAATCTCTTTTTTGCCAATTGTTGTATCATTGAGCTAGCTAATAGCATACAAAAAGGCAGCTTTCTACATCAAGAAAGAACAACCTTATCACTGAAGAAGCAATTCCAAGCAACCCTTCTCTAAAACTTTCACTGTGAAAGATGTTCAAAGAACGTGGCCATTACAAGTTTGACAACGTATTCCGGATTAATAGCACCGCTCAAAATTTGGAATATGCGCAACGGAATAAAATTCAAGGGGTGTCGCCCGGCGGCATCGGGCGACATCTGTTCCCCTGTGGTTCAATGCCTCGTATCGTTTGACGAGTCGTAACTGCGAGTCCCCACCTCCTTTGTGCGGATGTGGGTAACCCAACATCGTCCTCTCGGCAAAAAAAACCCCATGGGAAGCCGATTACGAAGTGTCGACGATTTGAACCTTAACACGTTGACGACATCGCGCGTTTTGGCATTTTTGGCCGCGTGGGACCAGAGCGGTTCTGCGAGCGCCGCCGCCTCACAACAAATCTGTGGATTTTGAGCTTTAAATACGCAATACTTCGATGCGACAAAATGTTTTCACTGATATTCGGTGTGTCAAACTTATTGGAAGGTACACATGTGAAAGTGCGGTCGAATGATGTGTTACAGCATTGAAAAGGCAAGTTTCACTTACTTTTGCTTTAGTGATTTCAAAATTATTTTGGACGTGGTTGTTTCGGTAAAAACACATATCTTGCCACACGAGTAGCTTTGTACTCACTTCTAATATTCTTTTTTATCTACATGTTCGTGTTAATGAAGAGAAAATGAGGAATGAACTGAACGGATATTTTCGTCCGGTCCGAAAAACCTCTGCCAAACTAAAGAATATTTGGTCATTCTATAAGCCGCGTGGTTCTTGGTTATGTTGTGGTATGGCCTAAAAAATGAACACAAAAAACCTGGGAAGAAATGGCGCGTTCAAGAAAAAACTGAATGTAAAGGGTGTGGCAACTATAGTTGCCACAATGTCCATTGCGGCGTGCAAAACGCGGCAAACCTAGTTGCCGCGCTGTCGTCAAGGTGTTAACGGGAAGTATATCCGTCTTCCCCAACACCGCGCCCAGGCCCCGTTCCCTGTGCGATAATCGGGCTCTGGATCCCCTTCCCTCATTTAGAAGGTGCAGGTCTCTATCAGGCCATCCCGAAGTGCGTGCCGCATTCGCTGGATCGTCTAGCGCACAAGTCGGGTCCATCGCCCTAGCGCTCTCTGACCCCTAGTCCCAATACACAATTAGTACACCATATAAACACTCACATTTATCATGGTATTTGTTCCGAACATCCTGACGTCCAAACTCTCACGTCCTTGCCGGCGTCGGATCTGACCATGTCCTCGAGTTGTCCTTGCTGTAATCCTACGATGCGCTCTGCCTCCTCCCTCAGATGTTATTGAGGGCCCTACAGCCGATCACACCATCGGGCCTAAGCGAGGCGAACCTCGATAGGGACGCATGGTGTGAACTTACCGATGCTCCGCCAAGACGACTACCGTGCGCCCGACCGCACGGCAGCATGCGTCCATAAAGTGCTCTGCTGTGCGCATGTGCCGCTTTAGCCTCCTGGCGGTCATAGCCTAAGGACTGCCACTCATGGAGAGGAAGTACGTTTCAACCGGCAGAGGCAACCGCTGATGACGACTGTCCTTGGTTGGGGTTAGGCCATCACGCGGCGCACGCTTCTAGTGCCCGCGTGCTTCTAACGCGAATGGCCGGGACGACCGTCGCGTACCGAGGCACTGACCGCATGCTCGTACTACTTTCTTAGGGCTCAAGTCTCTCGAAGGCAAGAAAAACTGCAGAATGAAAGAGATTGGGCCGCATGGTCTTCACCTCCCTCACCACTCCTTCGAAAGTAATACCAGGTGGCCCTTACAGAGTAATAAATGAGGTATGCAACAAGTAAAGGCGCATTTGATTCACAATAAAGCGTTACAAGAACCAGTAGCTCGACAAATAGCTTTGTTGGATAGTGTGTTTGTTGCAGAATTGTGTTGTGTGTGCTCACAAGGAATGGTCAATTGGTCGGTCCGGCCGTTTGTAATGAGGTGTAGTTTGATGCACGCGTCTTGCGACGCTGAGCTCAAATCCGTTTTTCGGTTTTTGCCGAACGATTTCTGAACGAAGTTGAGGGATTCTTCTCACTGCGGCTATCTCACTGTGGCGACCTCTACACCCCCCCCCCCCCATCCCACTTATCACACATAAGAAGAATCGCGGAGCATTTCGCGGTTCTTTCAAGGTTGCTCATACGAGCCCAGAAAGCGCTATACTGCGTTATTTTGTTATCGTTCTGTTCGTTCGTTCTGTTTTTACGCGAGCCAAGTGGGATAGGGGGATGTAGAGGGCACCACAGTGAGATAGCCACAGTGAGAAGAATCCCTCATAACTTCGCTCGGAGAATCGTTCGGCAAAAACCGAAAACGGATCCTGTAGGCTTCAGCGCACAAGACGTCGTTGTGAGCGGACAGCCGAGGCCCGGGGTTCGCTGGCGACTACACTCATTGCAGAACGGTCCGGAAACGACAAAGATGACCATTCCTATGTGAGTGAAGTGGAAGATTGTAATGGGGCGTCAATTAATGGCTAAGGCAGGGCGGTTGGGCATGTACGGCGTGGAAAGGTCGTAATCTTGAGTTGTGTTTTTATGTTTTTTAGAGTTCAAGTTTTTGAAGGGTGGGAAAGCGGTGTTAGGTCGCGAAGGATTCAGAAATGTGTGAAAAAGGGGAGTCCGTGTTCTGGGATGGTTGATAGGCGTCGTGGTTAGGCTGAGGGGATGGGGGAAGGTTTTGTTTGACGGTTTGTTTTTGAGTATTTTGGCGAAAACATCAAGCTTCTTGAGGACAAGTGAGAGCAGTGCCTGTGTCTCAGAATCAAATCTATGGAAAACAGCCATGATGGTGAGAGTGGTCGTCGGAACGCTGAAAGCGGAAGTTCGTACGAGGGACTCTAGTAAGGCTGATGGAAGGCCTGGTGAAACGGGGTCGTATCAATGGCTTCTGTGGAAGGGGATTGTGAGATTCCCAATGCAAACGGACAATACGGGCGCCAGGGGTACACCCCTGGACCGCAATCCTCGATCAGTTCTTCGGTATTCTACATCGTTTAAAATTCTCACTCTGTCCCCACAAGTTAATTGTTTTCGAGCATATATCTCCTGCTTCTTACTCCACCTGCGTCACCTTAATCATTTGTCTTCATATTCAAATCGAAACCACATCGAGTTTTTCGTCGGTTGAACGTCCGAAAGCGATTTTGCAGGTCATTGAACCAATCTATGCAACAGAAAATTGGTGGCTCTGCAACGCCAGGGATAAGTCCGACCACCTTCATTACTCGAAAATACAATACGTTGGAAGGGCGCTAGTCTGTATTGAAGATTTTTAGAATTAATTTCGATGAGTTACTCTGTCAATGCAAAATGATTCTGATAAGGCCGCTTGATAGCGCAGTACTGTCTAGATGGCCCATATTCGTATAACTTCGTATAATGTATGCTATACGAAGAACCTAATACTGGTATTTTTAACATCATTCTGAGCGGCATATTCTTACATATTGAGCGCGTGTGTTGGAATGGAATACTGTGGTTCCAAGGATCATATTGAATGTACTTGCTCTTCTGAGGCCGTTGAACTGAAACATGCTCGATCAGCTGATATAGTTCTCCTATTTCTTTCATCCGCTTGTTTCCGCATTCTTATTTTTTTATTCTTGTATCTTGCTGTATCATTTCTAGGTGTCTCCTTCGTCATGCGAGGTTGCGCAGAAAACTTTGGTGCCATAGACTCAAACTTCCTTGCCAAGCACGGAGATCGTAGTTGCACTACGTGAGTTCTTGTTTCTCGACATTTCTGTAAATGGATTATGGGTGAGCATGGGATGGCCAGATTAGTGGTTACTGAAGTAATTGAGTGATTCAAAAACTGTTAGCGCAGTCTCGCACTCCTCACTTGGTTGTTGAGACACTATGCATTGTCAACCTTTAACGAAGACCGGGCGAGTACGACCGCTTTCATTCTTCCTCCCGTTGCTTCCAGCGTTTTCTCCTTCTTGCTCCACTCCTTTGAAGTTAATACTTGTTGCCTCAAATGGTTATTATTATTAGGATGGTAAGAAAGTCCTGAGCCGTTTGACACTTTTTTGTGCTTTACTTTTTTATTCCGCGTACAATGGAATCTACTCAACAATATAATCACCATTGTTACTCACTACAGAGTCCCACCTAATGGGCAGGTCAGCGACCTCCTTCTCCCAGAACTGAGCAGACTGAGAGTCAAAGAAATCGCTGACCGCTCTTCCACGTCTTCAACTTTGGTGAATTTTTCTTCGCTAGGAATCCCTTAAGGGGATGAAATAAGTGATAATCAGAGAGGGCAATGTCAAGAGAATGGGAGGGGGGGGGGGGGAACCGCGTGCCAGATCAGCTTTTCCAATTTTTCACAGGTCTCTTTAGCTATGTGGGGTCTCACGTCATCTTGGAGTAGATGGACAGAAGTTTCGTCTTGTCGTTTTTCTTGAACAGCGTCCGTTAGTTTCTGGAGCTGACTTGGCGTAAATGCTGCTCGGTATGTATGTCTTTGCGGGAGCATCTCATAATACAGCATTCCTCAATCCCAGAGGTAGCAAAGAAGACAGTTTTGGGGTGAAGGTCCGATTTTGCTTGTGTCGGCGGGTCTTCTCCTCGAGGGAGCCACACGGCACTGTGCTTGTTAGAATCGTAGAGGACCCAACTCTCATCTCTCGTAATCATGCCTTCCAAAAACTCCTTTCGGTGCGGACAAAGAAGGAGAAACTGACAAATGGGTACCCGCCTGAACCGCGTGCTATCGGTCAAGACATGAGGGATCCATCGAGTCGGCACTTTCCTGTGGCGAGGGCGTGGAGGGGACCGAGGACTGTGGGATGGGTGCACCCGAGTCTTATCACAAGGCTGCGGGTGCTAACCTCCGGATCCTCTTCGACAGCGCCGAGAACGGTGGAGTCTTCCACTGTTTGGGGGCTTCCCAACCTTGTCTTGTCTTCGGATTCAAGCATCACCCTAGAAAGCATCCTAATTATGATGATGAAAGAAGAACGGAAGAATATAGAGAAAGAGGATGCTTAGGAAAATGATTAGAATCAGGTCGAATACCCACTAGAACATACTGGAGCACAAACCAGAGAGGTCTAATAGAAAAAGCCATTTATCGATTGATACTTACCTTAAAAAGCTTCACTGCTCGTTCTGTGGAAAAATGAGTGGCAGCACTCAGAAACTGGAAAGGAAATATGAGGGAAATCCTTCTAGGGCGGACTTTTCTCGAATTAATCAATTTTGCTTCTCGCGCACAAGATACGTTTTTTTCGGCTCTCGACTGCGCTTCTCGTCGAAATAGCGTGCTCAGCTTACAAGAAAGTCATATTCCATTTTCCGTATACTGAGAGAATTCGTACTGGCTGCCCCATCCGAAACCCTACTAATGTCCTTTCCTTCCCTCATAGTTGCTAATTCGTAGTGTACAAAGATGAGTCAGCACTATATAGTAGCTTCCATTTGTTTACTGAACCTCCCCTCGCTATAAAGGCGTATCAGGATGGAGAGCAATGAGGTGCCAGCGTCCTAAAATCCTGTAGTTTAGAAAGTTTAGACACGAGAACATGGTTTTTCAGCGCCATTAGCATAAGCCTACACAAAACCCACCTTGACATGGAGATAGGAAAAAAACCGCCCATCACACAGGCTCGCTCACTCAAAAATGCTCCCGTCCGTTATGTATCAAATATACTGA